GGCGATATGTAAGACAGAGCATTTATTTGTTGAGATTTGAAGTTGCCATTTGTTTGGCCACTCTGATACATAGTCAAGATCTTTTTGAAGGGTAGCAGTATTGTCTGTGGTATTGAACAGCTTTACATCATCAGCGAAGAGAATGCAGTTGCTCTTAATGTGATCACAGAGGTCATTTATGTAAAGTATAAAGAGAGCTGGTCCTAGAACACTGCCTTGGGGGAAACCACTATTGACAGGTACAGAATTTGATAGGACACTCCCAATTTTGACAGAAATGCTTCTATCCAGTTATGCAGTTGTCCAGAGATACCATAAGATTTTAGTTTTAGGAGTAGTTTGTCGTGTACCACTGAATCAAAGGCTTTACAGAAGTCTATGTAGATTGCATCTATTGTTTTGCCCTGATAGAGTTGTGTAGTCCATATATTTTGCAGTGTAAGAGTTGCAGATTACAGGATAGTTTTTTTTCTGAAACCAAATTGTTTATTGGAGAGTAGGTTGTTTGTTTCTAAGTGGAGGATAATGGATTGGTTAATAATTGATTCCATGACTTTACAGGTGACGCTGCATAAGTAAATTGGTCTGTAATTTTCAACTAGGCTTTTTGAAGATGGGGATGACCATGGCTTGTGACCTTAGGTTAGGCAAGGAGCTGGTCCTGAAAGATTTTTCAAAGATTATGCTTAGAGGTTCTGCTATGGTAGTGGATAGCTTTTTAAAGAAGTAGGCACATATTCCGTCTGGTCCAATAAATAGAGATGGTTTTAGATTGCATAGTGCTTTTTCAACATTGTCTTCTGTAAAATCGATACTTATTAGATCATTGTAGTTTTCTGTGGTTTGGCTAGGAAATACTGGGCATGATCTATAGCTGTTTACAAATACTGAGCCAAAGAATGTGTTAAAGATGTTGGCTTCAATGGTGTCATCGTTGCAGTCTTTACCATGAGGTCCTATTAGGGGTGGGATGGACCTTGAGTCTTTTAGTTTGTTGTTTACAAAATTATAAAAAGCGCGGGTGGAATTGGTGCGTAGAAGGGTTTCCTCTTGTTTAATGTGATACCTGGTGCATTCAGTCTTTATCTGGTGGCATAAATTTTTGTATCGGTTTTGTTTTTCTGCCAGAGTGATCTCTTTTTGGATTGAAGGTTTTTTTATTGTTATGGGTAATCTGTTTTTTGTTTTGTTTTGTTTTGGGAGTTGTTATTGGTACATATAGTTTGATGACTCTTTTGACTTCAAGTAAAAATACTGTATGTTGTAATGGTCTTCTACAGTATTGCAACCAGAGAATAGAAATTGCCAATCAAGGGATGAGAGATCGTTGTTTATAAGATCATAGTTGCCTTTTTTGAAGTTATAATTGGGGATTACGTCATTGTGATGATTTTTGGGTGGGCGTATGTTGAGACAAAAGTCAATCATATTGTGGTCACTGTTGGAAAAAGATTCTTTAGTTTATATTCCATAAATTAAATTCAAACTATTTCAGAAGATGAGATTATGGCAGTTGTTAAGTCTAGTATTGTTGGTTACTAGTTGTTCCAGTCCCAGATTTGTAGCAGCATTGTAGAAGGCTGCATGTATTGATTCAGTTGTACATTCGTTTAGGGTCCAGTTAATATGAGGTAGACTGAAGTCACCAAAATAAAAGCATGTGGGCAGGATGTTGCCCATGTTAGTAGTGAATTTAGGTTGTTTACGTGACTGTGATAATGGAGGCAGGGAGAGATGCGTTGAGCCATGTTTCACAGACAAATATGATGTCGAATTTAGCCATATTTA